GGTCTTGGGACCAAACAAGCGCCTTGCTTCTTTGCCTCCTCTTGCCCCAATCCAGCCGGCCGATCCAAAGCAAGGCGGCCAAAATCAGCATCCCCTTTCTGGGTGTTGGTCGTCCCGAAGCTGCCACATGTGCCACAACCCATTCTGTCCCATAGTCTTCCTGTATCCCTAGTCTTTCTGGACCACACGTTTCCCACCCAGGTTGTCCACGGCTCAACGAGCCTTCCAAGTCTTCCATAAGAGACCCTTCTTGTAGTTGTCAAAAGCTGCACCCCAGCGGTCGCTTTTGTTTGACCTGGAATGTTTCAGCCTCAAACCTGCCAATTGGCCAGTTGCTGCCTTTTCAACCATGGTCTACCGATGTCATGGGCCGGAGTACCCTTCGCAGTGTCGCCTGGCTGTCACCAACAGGAAGTCCCAGGGTTTTCATAAAAAAGGGGGGGCAGCCATGGTTTTTCCACCTGATCAGGCAACTACTCCTCGCAAGTTTGTCGCTACGACAACACCAACCTGGGATCTGCTGCCTCTGGGCTGAATGAGCGCTAGCCTGGAACCAGCGGGAATATTTGACCCCCAGTGGCCGACCTGCTCCGAGAACAGCCAACGAAATGGGTGGGGGGCCATGCTCATTCCAAAAAGAATCAAGACAACACTCCCACAGCAATCATGGAAGCGGAAGAAAGGCCACTCAAGTAACATGGTTGTCTTTGAAGCCATTTGCCAGCTGCCATGAGATTGCGGGGAGGAGAACAATCATTCAGTGCAGCTTTTGAGGCTGGTTGTCAGGTGCTTTGGGCAAGTGAAGGAAAACTCGGACGTTCCGCCGTTCCAGCTTTTGGCTTTTGAGCTCCTTGCCAAGGCCCGGCCTTTTGGTGGCTTGGCCTTCTTTTGTGGCACGTCCTGCTGTGACACGTCAAATCCCTCGCCGGACTGGGGTGCTTGTGCCATCTCGGAAGGTGAAGGGTGCATGGCCCAGACACGAAAAGGTTTGGACAAAAGGCACCGGCATACGTGTTTTGTATGCCCCCCAACACTCCCACACTCCCGCACTCCCACAACCCCGCACCCCACACCCCGCACCCCCGCACCCCCGCAACCCGGCACCCCCACACCCCCACACCCCGCCCGCCCGCCCGCCCACCCGCCCGCCCGCCCGCCCGCCCGCCCGCGCGCGCACGCGCACCCACAACACAACACAACACAATACAACACAACACAACACAACACAACACAACACAACACACAACACAACACAACACAACACCACACCACACCACACCACACCACACCACACCACACCACACCACACCACACCACACCACACCACACCACACCACACCGCGCCCCACCCCGCCCCACCCCGCCCCACCGCACCGCGCCGCGCCGCGCCGCACCGCACCGCACCGCGCCGCGCCGCACCACACCAGATCGCACGACACCACACCACACCACACCACACCACACGACACCACACCACACCACACCCCACACCACAACACACCACACCACACCACACCACACCACACCACACCACACAACACACACACACACACCACACACACACACACCACACACACACACACCACACACACACACCACACACACACAACACACACACACACACACCACACACACACACACACACACGCGCGCCGCACACACACACACACACCCCACACACCACCCTACCAACCCGCCCGACCGCCCGCCCGCCTTCTCGCCCCCGCCCGCCCGCCCGCCAGCCGACCCGCCCGCCCGCCCGCCCACCCACCCACGCACCCACCCACCCACACAACACCAATACCAACACCAACACAACACCAACACAACAACGACAACAACAACAACAACGACAACAACAACAGCAGCAGCAGCAACAACAACAACAACACCAGCAGCAACAACAGCAGCAACAGCAACAACAGCAACAACAGCAACAACAGCAACAGCAACAGCAACAGCAACAGCAACACCAACACCAACACCAACAGCAACACCAACAGCAACACCAACAGCAACACCAACAGCAACACCAACAGCAACACCGACAGCAACACCGACAGCAACACCGACAGCAACACCAACAACACCACCAACAGCACCAACAACAACAACACCAACAACACCAACAACACCAACAACACCAACAACACCAACAACACCAACAACACCAACAACACCAACAACACCAACAACACCAACAACACCAACAACACCAACAACACCAACACCAACACCAACAACACCAACACCAACACCAACACCAACAACACCACGCGCGCACGCACGCATGCACGCGTGCGCGCACCGACGCACCCACGCCACGCACCCGCGCTAGCACCCTGGCAAACAAGCACTCACGCACCCACGCACCGACGCACCCGCGCACCCACACACCCACGCACCCCCACACCCACACACCCACGCACGTATGCACTCGCACGCACCCACCACCCCACCCACCCACCCACCCGCCCACCCACCGCCCACCCACCGACCCACCCACCCGATAGTTGTGTTGAGACGCAACTAAGCAATCTTATTTGCACTTAAATGCATTTTTCGTGCAGTTTCCTCACGTGCACGTTGGTTTGCTACCCGCATTCGCAGGGCATGTTGTGTTTTGCAAAGGTTCCCGCAGTTGTGAGCAGTTGTGAGATCCTGGCTCGGCCCCACAGGACACCGACATGAATCTGCTGACGCTCATTTGCCCAAACTCTTGTTTTGGGAAGGAGGGCTCTGGTTCGGGTGTAAGCGGCTTGCCTCAGCCAGAGGGAGACTCCGGTGGCGGAACTGGCACCGGAACTGGCGGAACTGGCACCGGAACTGGCACCGGCAGTGGCGGAACTGGCACCGGAACTGGCACCGGCAGTGGCACCGCAACTGGCACCGGAACTGGCGGAAGTGGCACCGGAACTGCCACCAGCACTGGCACTGGCAGCTCGACCGGTACGGGAACTTCTGGCACCGGAACTGGCACCGGAACTGGCACTGGAACTGGCAGTGGCACTGGCAGCTCGACCGGTACGGGAACTTCTGGCACCGGAACTGCCACCGGCACTGGCACTGGCACCAGCAGTGGCACTGGCAGCTCGACCGGTACGGGAACTTCTGGCACCGGAACTGGCACCGGAACTGGCAGTGGCACTGGCAGCTCGACCGGTACGGGAACTTCTGGCACCGGAACTGGCACCGGAACTGGCACTGGAAGTGGCAGTGGCACTGGCAGCTCGAGCAGTACGGGAACTTCTGGTGGCGGATCCAGCACCGGAACTGGTACGTGAGCTTCTTTAGGCGGAACTGGCACGTCAATCCTCCGCCTGGTTGGCGTATTCAATCAGGAGGCCCAGATTGCAAGCACGCAGTCGGTCTCGCCTCCTTTGTACCCCAACTGAGTCGAAATCTGGCAGCATGGCTTTTTTGCACCCTCACGCCTTCTTAACCCTGTCAGCTAGTGCGACCTTGCCACTTTACCATCAATCGGCCAATGATGCATCCGGCAGGTCACATGCTGACCAGACAGGAGAGCTGACCTGAGCAAAGGTGGGTCGTTTTCAATGAGCGCAATTCTTAAGCTTTGGCAGACCCCTGAGCATGCATGCCTAAGGCCCGCCCCTCCTGTGGATTTGCGGAAGACGTGCTCATGGGTTTGCACAAATGCACTCACCTAGGGCGGTTCTCGAAAATCTTTCCTGACTGCCCTTATGGCAAGCGCACGCTGTGGCGACTGTTTACGCTGCCTGTGAGGTTTTCTGAACGCTACTTGGCATGATTTTGACTGCTTGCCGAAATTGCCCCTGAGCACCCTGTTGATTCACCAAGGATTCGACCAGGCATGAAAAGCGACCTTGCCCATAAGGGCTCCCTTTTTGCTCATGACCAAACCCTTTCTGCGCATGCCTCCGTTGGGGATCTGCGAGAATGTGTGGCCGCTTCATATGTTGTGCTGCACTGTTGGCTTCTTAAGCTCATTTAAGCAGCGGGTCTCACGCTTCCAGCCCTTGCTGCGGTATTGCGAGGGATACACAAATGCAAATTGGCATGAAACCCAACAAACCATCAGCTGCAGAGGAGTCCTTTTTGGACCCATTTGGAGGTTCCATGTTGAGCCGCAAGGGAGCAGGTGCGGCCTCAAAGACAGGCGCATGCACTTCTTCCGCCGCCAAGCGGTGCAGCCTCTGCTGGCGCGCGAATGTCGGCGCCAGCAGCCATGAGTTGCGGAAATACGGACATCGCGGGCATGCATGGTTGTTGTTGGGAAACCTTGGAAACAGCCAATTGTGGTTTAGTGGTTGAAATCCAACCACTGAACTGCTGAAATTTGATATAATTTTTGCTCCCCTTCCAACATCAACCAAGCATGGAGCTGGGCATCTGAAAGGGGTTGGAGTGGTTTCCCCCATTTTCTCTGTGGGAAGTTCACGCCGGCCCTCACGGATGTTGCCCCCTGACCCAGCAAGATGGCAGGACGCCTTGGCTGGTCGCGCCTGGCAAGCCGGGGCCTCGGCTTGGGTTTGACCCAGTGAGAGGTGAAGTTCCTGTCCAGGTTGGGTGAACCTTCTCCTCTCCTGCTTCACCTCCTCTGCCTCATCTCATCCTCATCCTCATTCTCATCGCGAGCTTCATTCTCATCATGATCATGTTCACACTGACTCTTCGGCTCTGCTCAATGAAGCGCGTTGAGGGCCAGAGCTGTGAGCATGTGTCCGGCTGGGAAAGCTGTCATGGATCAAGGCAGGCAGGTAGCATTTGCCGTCTGGATCAACAAACGAAAAACCACCGCGCAGGTGGGCAAATGTCGGACTGATGTCACCTTGCCAGGACTTGATGCCGGCACTACAACGCATTTGTCGCACAACGAGCTGTTTTTTTTCTCCTTCTATCATTCCTCAATTCATACGGCGTAGCCCAGCAGATTGGAGCTTATCCTGCGAAGCACTCACATCTGACCACGTCAAGGACCAGGCAGTCCGCACCGCTCTCTTTTCGCCGGCTCGCATTGTTACGTTGCTTTTGGGGGCTTTTGGGGTACCTCTCCTAAGACTCAGAGCGCTGACAAACGGGCAACGTGACTCGTTCCCCTTCCGAATCTGGAGCCATGGAGAAGCGTGCGGCGGCCCAGGCGACCCGGCGAACCGGTCCCAGCTTCCGAATGGTACGTAGGGTGAGACGTGCACGAAGGACACCGTGGGAGTCAAGATGAAGTCCTGTCACGGCTGGGAGGCCATGTTAGGCAATTTCAAGGGCTGCGCTGGGTTCCAAGTTGTTTGACATGAAGGAGCATTCAATGTATGGAGACAACATAGGTGTCCAGTAGGCTATGTTCCCGAGGTGGATCACTCCTACCTTTTACTGGATCCGAATGAAGCCCCTCAGTTTCAGTCTAGCTTTGGGAAGCTAGAAGCTGGAACTCGCGCTCGCGCAGGCCTTCAGTGACCGACTCAATGCCACTCCTGCGGAGGGCGCGGAGGCACGGGGGCACTTTTTGTCAAGCACCAGGAAAGGGACCATCCAAATGGCTGATTCCTTTAATTAGCCTTTACCAACCAACTCACCGAAGGCTCCCCAAGCAAAACACCCCCCGCCACCACCAACTGGGGGTGTTTGCTCCTTTCAGTCCAAAAGGCTCTCAGATTAGCTGAACCACAGCAGTTCGGAGCCTTTGAGGGTACCTTCTTTTTTGTGGCTTTAAAGGGAAACCAAAAGGACAAGCGAAGCCTGTTTGGGGGTCTTGTTTGGGAGGCGGTCTTACTGGTCGTTGCTCTAAAGCCCAAGAATCCGCATGAATGCTGGTAACCTTGTCAGTCCATAGCACCAGTCTTTACAACCCTATAGCCATGGTCTCGGCAATGCTCCCATACCACTGGCTCAAGCGACACCATCGGCCTGGCGCCTGTGTCCAAGTTCTGGGCACTTCCAGAAGAACAAGAAGAAGCCGGGCACTAGGGTAACCAACGCCTCAGTTGCACAAGGGCTCATGATTTCGTGTCCAAAATGAGCAACTCCAGATCCTCCGCAGACCAAATGTCATAGGCAACGCCACCCTGATCGCCTTTCGCGAAAAAGGTCGTAAAAGGAACTGCCACAAATGCAGAGGTAGGCACAGTCCACTGGGTACGAGGTGCAGCCCGGCCGATCAGCCGCCCTCCCATGAGCTGACGATGTGAAGACTACCTGTGAATCGCGAGATATCCCGCGGATTAGGCGCCAAAAGGAACCTGCACCTGGCACGTAGAAGACCAGAACCTTGGACACGACAGCCCAGATATGTGGAAGATGCATTTTCACCACTAAGTGAGACCTCCTCCACGGCATTCCCAAACCCGTGTCCATGGCGCCCCAAGCGATCAGCATGCACGCACCCCCCTGGTAGGTTGCTTGGGCCAGGCAAGGGTCATTGGACAACTATGATGTTCACAGGTGCGTACAGAGCAACAACACATTTACAGGCATTTCTGCAAAGGTGACTACAGGTTTGGGGGCTGGGTGACGACGTCCAACGGCCAATGTTTCTTCCGGGCGGCAAATGTTAACACATCCGACAGCCACAATTCAACCGTAGAGATCCTTCTTGTTAGGATTTTGAGATGTCAAAGCCAGGGACAGAAAGGGGTGTCGTTGAGTGAGTCGAGGTGCTTCCACGCCTCAGCTTCCAAAGGCTTGCTTCTTTGACTTTTTGCTTCTCCTACTTTGGCCCATGTTAAGTCACCGTCCGGGTCCTTTGCGCAAGTGAAGCCAACTTCCTGGTTTACCCTCCAAATCTGCGGGAAAGTCAGAGCAAGCTCACTCGAACGGTCAACTTACCTTGAGTGCCGTTTCGGACTTTCACTTTGTGGGTGTTGCCATTTTGTGCCACTCAGGAAGTTGCATTGTCCGTTGCCGCCGGTTGCGCTGCCCGCTTTCTGTGGGGCAGGCGGACCGCTTCCGCAGCGCGGTGGATCGGCTGAGCTCGATGAAGCGGGAAGCGCCGCAGGCCTGCGGGCGGGCGGGCGGGTGGGTGGGGTCGGTTGGTTTGTTTGGTTGGGGTTGGTTGCTGACTTGTTTGGGTGGCTGGTTTAGTTGAATGGCTTCTTCCCACCCCGGGTTGCAGCCAAACCTGGTGGGGAACAGGCAGACACCAGGGAAGGCGGATTTCCAACCCCTCATTTAGAAAAGCTTTTTCCGGTGGCGGAGGGACCCTATTTGCCCAATCCCCCGGTCCCACGTTGTGCTGGGCCCCTTTCCCCAGTCAGGTGCCCATTGGATGCTCCGACTTCGGAAGCGGTTCGCTCAGCTGGGAGACCTGGGCGTGTTTTGATGCGTTTGGTGGCCCAACAAATTCCCGGGTAGAGAGGGTGACCCTAACACGTCCGCGGGAAGAGGCGAGGCCAACAACAGCCCAATAGCCCAGCAGCCCAACAGCTCAGCAACCCAACAGTCAGCTCGACGACCCAACAGCACAACAGCCCAACAGCCAATACAAAACCAACAGCCTCACAAGCCCGCGGGGTCCAGAGCACGGAGGCGCTGCTGCGGCTGGAGGAGGTGCCCGCAGACGTGGCCGCGGTCATGGCGCTTTGGCGTGAAGCGACGGAAGGCTCACGTCAACCCCAAGTTTTGGCGTTGTCTGGGGGGACTTCTGGAGAGAAGTTGGATTTCCAGCTGCCTGTTAAACTGTTACTCAGCTGTGTGTGGCTTTTTTGAAGTTGGTTTCTGGTATTTGTTTTGTGGTGGGTTACAAAGAGAAGCCAGAACACAAAATGTTTTTTTCTATTGTTTTTGCTCATCATTTCTCTAGCAGACCTCTTGCTTGAGTGCCAAGAGCTGTCAAATAGATTCACCACCATTCCACCTGCTTGCAAGGCTGTTGTATGTGGCCGCGAGCGCTTGCTCGCTTGTGTTGTCTCAAACTTTGGCATTCAACTCATACTCATACAGGTTGCAGTCTTACATGGCTGCTTACACGCTAAGGTAATTGTGAATATGCACGTAACAACAAACAACTGGACACATGCCCAAGGACAGATTGGTGTCGTATTCAACCATGTCTGCATCTTGTACGCATACATATGCACATACATACCTACCTACCTACCTACCCACCCACCCACCCACCCACCCACCCACCTACATACATACATACATACAGACACACACAGACACACATACAAGTAAGGTCCGGCAGGGCCGGGGGGCGGAAGTTTCAAAAAAATAGAAACTATAGTTCCCTTTTTCTTTCTTTTCTTGACTCTTTTTCTCTTCTTCTTCCTTTTCATTGTTTCCTTTTTCCCCGTCATTCTTCCTTTCTTCCTTTCTTTCCTTCCTTCCTCCCTTCTTTCCTTCTTTCTATCTGTCTTTTCTTTTCTTTCTTTCTTTCGTTTGCTTGTTTTTGCGCTGTTCTCTCTTTTGTCTCTTCTTTGTCTATCTATTTGTCTGTCTATCTATTTTTCTCTACCTATGTATCTATTTCTCGTGCTATCTATCTATCTGCTTATCTATCTATCTATCTCTCTATCTATCTTCTCTATCTATCTATCTTTCTATCTCTCTATCTATATATCTACCTATCTCTCTATCTCTCTATCTATCCATCTATCTATCCATTTATCTATCTGTTTATCTATCTATCTCTATCTCGCTCTCTTTCTCTCTCTATCTATCTATCTATCTATCTCTCTCTATCTATCCATCTATCCCTCTCTCTCCATCTCTCTTTCTATCTGTCTATCGATCTATCTATCCATCTATATCTGCACTTAAAAGTTGCGATTTTCAAGCACGAAACTTGACTTCGCGTACTACTTTCGTACTTAAAAAATACGATTTTCGAGCCCCAGCTGCGAAAGTGGACATCACGTACTACTTTCGTACTTGAAAGTTGTGATTTTCCAGCCCCAACTGCGAAAGTTGACTTCTTTCATACTTAAAAATTGCGCTTTTCAAGCGCCAGCTGCGAAGTGGACTTCGCGTACTACTTTCGTACTTAAAAGTTGTGATTTTCAATCCCCAGCTGCGAAAGTGGACTTCACGTACTACTTTCGTACTTAAAAGTTGCGATTTTCCAGCCCCAGCTGCGAAAGTGGACTTCACGTACTACTTTCGTACTTTGGAGCTCCAGCTGCGAAAGTTGACTTCGCGTACTACTTCCGTACTTAAAAGTTGCGATTTTCGAAAGTGGACTTCACGTACTACTTTCGTACGTAAAAGTTGCGATTTTCAAGCCCCAGCTGCGAAAGTTGACTTCGCGTGCTACTTTCGTACTTAAAAGTTGCGATTCCCGCCCCGGCTGCGAAAGTTGACCTTGAAAAGCTGCGCCACGAAATGCCACGAAATCTATACTTGACCTTGCGAAAGTGGCACTCCTGCCGCGGGTTTTGCACTTGACCTTGCGAAAGTGCTGCGCCTGCCACGAAATCTGTGCTTGACCTTGCGAAAGTGCTGCGCCTGCCACGAAATCGATACTTGACCTTGCGAAAGTGCTGCGCCTGCCACGAAATCTATACTTGACCTTGCGAAAGTGCTGCGCCTGCCACGCAATTCAAACCTTGCGAAACCTTCGCGCGGCCGTGCCAATGGGCCCGTCTCCGAACCCGTTCCGAGACCGTTCCGAGACCGTTCCGAGACCGTTCCGAGACCGCCGCCGTACAGGCGTCGCAGCCGAGGTGGTTTGCGCACAGTCCGGAAGCCCAATTCACGCACAGCGCCAACGTTTTCTGCATCTTGCCATCCCCCAGCTCGCAGAGAGTGGACGCAGCACCTTGCGAAAGTGCTGCGCCTGCCACGAAATCGATACTTGACCTTGCGAAAGTGCTGCGCCTGCCACGAAATCTATACTTGACCTTGCGAAAGTGCTGCGCCTGCCACGCAATTCAAACCTTGCGAAACCTTCGCGCGGCCGTGCCAATGGGCCCGTCTCCGAACCCGTTCCGAGACCGTTCCGAGACCGTTCCGAGACCGCCTCCGTACAGGCGTCGCAGCCGAGGTGGTTTGCGCACTGTCCGGAAGCCCAATTCACGCACAGCGCCAACGTTTTCTGCATCTTGCCATCCCCCAGCTCGCAGAGAGTTGCGAAAGTGCTGCGCCTGCCACGAAATCGATACTTAACCTTGACCTTGCGAAAGTGCTGCGCCTGCCACGAAATCTATACTTGACCTTGCGAAAGTGCTGCGCCTGCCACGCAATTCAAACCTTGCGAAACCTTCGCGCGGCCGTGCCAATGGGCCCGTCCCGAACCCGTTCCGAGACCGTTTCCGTTCCGAGACCGTTCCGAGACCGTTCCGAGACCGCCGCCGTACAGGCGTCGCAGCCGAGGTGGTTTGCGCACAGTCCGGAAGCCCAATTCACGCACAGCGCCAACGTTTTCTGCATCTTGCCATCCCCCAGCTCGCAGAGAGTGCTTGCGAAAGTGCTGCGCCTGCCACGAAAAAAGCTATCTATGTGTTAAGCTGGCTATATGTCAAAGCTATCTATCTGTCATGCAAGCCTACTGGAAAGCTATCTATCTGTCAAGCTAGCTATATGTCAAAGCTATCTATCTGTCATGCAAGCCTATTGGAAAGCTATCTATCTGTCAAGCTAGCTATATGTCAAAGCTATCTATTTGTCATGCTAGCTACCTGTCATAGCTATATGTCAAAGCAGCTAGCTCATTTAGTTCCAGTACTACGGAAGTTTCTTGTTAAACTTCCTTTGATAAACACATACATACCATTACATGCATTACGTATATATTATATATATGTTTGTTTGTATGTATGTATGTATGGT